TTATCAACAAAACATGGTTTACAGAAAGTTAAAGGTAGAATATGCAGCGGTTCTTCAATTTATTTTCAAAGCTTATTTATCTGTAACATGATGTCAAAACTGGTTACATCCATTCTGGATGGACTCAGGTTTCAGACTGTGCTGAGTAACTGTTTACAACACTAACAATATATATACATCTCCTAACATTCATTGGCTCACATGGAGAATTCCGAACACTACCTCAGTGATCTCATAATTATGGAGGTGCCTACTTACTTTTCTTATGACACAATATGAAAATTTGTGAAAGTATATTCTATTGCTCTGGAAAAAAAACAAGAAGCAATGGTTGTTTTATAGAAATAGTCACTTCTAGAATGCTTTATCTAGCCAGAACTTAAGGTAAAGCAACTTTTCAGAGTGATAATTGATTTTGAGTTACTTTGTAATAGAATATATATATATATATTTTAATGGAACTCGACTGAGGAAGTAGATTCTGTAAAAAAATTTTTATCATTGATACAAACATCACCTGCTTTTTAGAAGAAATATTAGATAGATCAATGAATATGCCAAACTTATTTTTGGTCTGTATTTTGGTTTAATACAAAATCTCTTTAAATTTAAATGTAATTCCCATACAGCAATAACATTTTCATGTCTCAGTTACCTATTACTTGCATTATGGGTACCAAGAAACCATTACATTATCTAGAATATAACCCATATGCCTTTAAAAAGTGCACTGTGAAATGTTCATTTTGATGTAAACCTCATAATTCAACATTTAAATTAAGAACATTACCATTTTCAATATCACCTAAATATAATATATTGATCCAATATAGAAAATTAGATTGTTAGAAATGAAGATTCATAGTTCACCTTTTCAGTTTTGTATTGTTTCACATTTATGCCTTTAGCTTTATACATGACTTCAAGTCTAAACAATCCTACAATATTAATTAGGCATTTTCCCCAAGTTGGAGAACATCTAGTTGTGATGTTTTGAGGCTTTGTAACTTAAACCCATGATAACATATGGAATCCATAGTTCAGGGTTGTGGAGAAAGGCTTCAAAGAAATTTCTCTGTTGCTGGAATAATACTATTTATGTAAAGAACAAAAAACCCCAAATTATCAAAAATTTGTCTAAATACTACTAGTGTGAAAAGTAAATTTTTCATATGTAAGTTTCATAATCATATGTAGATGTGTTAAATGTTAACATTTAGTATTGAATAGGAAAAGATAAATCATTACTGTAAGTTAATGAATGTAGATGGCAAGAACATATAGAATTGGGGCTAGGGATTTAGCTCAGTGGTTTCGCCGCCTGCTGCCCAAGCGCAAGGACCCGAGTTCTAATCCCCGGTACCAAAAACAAAACAAACAAACAAAGAACATATAGAATATATGCATGACTGAATTTACATTTTTTATGAATATAATTATTCAGTATTCTAATTGCTATACCAGGGCCGGAGATTTAGCTCAGTGGCACTGCGCCTGAGTTCGATCTCTGGTAAGGGGTGGAGGAGTTCTCTCTAATTGCTATAGCAGTATGTTGAGACATACTGGCAATTTTTAGAAACCCAACAGAGATCATCTGTTCTGAATTACTTTTTCTTTAGGTACAACATTCAATTTCATGATTCTGCTTATAAACTAACAGTCACAAATTAGTTCACACATGGACCAAACTTTTGGTCCTGTTATAACTTTAAATAAGCTAGAGTTTGGGGCTACATATAGCCAAATGTGCAATAAGAAACCCACTACTTCAGAGCTACTTTAAAAATTTAGGTTATTGGGCTGGGGATTTAGCTCAGTGGTCCCGGTGTCTGCCTCGAAAGTGCAAGGTCCTGAGTTCAATCCCTGGTATCAAAAAAAAAAAAAAAAATGTAGGTTATTAAAGAGGATATTGTTTTCTAAGCTGCTAATTTAATGAAATGGTTAAAATATTGCATAACTCCTTTCCTTAGGGTGTTGTATCTTATATATAAATTGGTGATGTCATTTTTTCCCTTTTGCTATTCCAAGTCCAGTTGGTTTATTTTGAAGATATTTCAATATTTCAATTGTAGAAGAAAATTATACAATTTTCTCTGTACAGAGAATAACAACTAAATTTACCAGTTAAGAGACTGTTTCAGGAATTGTTGGAAGGTGAGTTATTCCATAGTAACCATGCTTCAGTCGCCATACAGTATGCCCAGAAACAATTCACTTCAACTTCTGAACATTTGGTTTGGAACACTTGTCTGATGAATATTCAGTTAAACACTTGGATACAAGCTCTTGCCAGGTCAGATCTCTGCCATTTATCTTGGAATGTTTCTGAAGACTTTCTCCTCCTGTCAACTCTACACAATTCTGTGCTTGGCTCTCCAATGCAAAGATAGATAAGGCAGTGACAATGCCTTAGTCTTTCAAAATTTAGGCTATTTTTCCTTCCAAATGGCAAGTTCTCTTGAATGAGTGAATAACAGAGTTGTAGAAATTGAAAGGCAACTTCAATTTTAAAAGTTTCAATTTAAATTTTCAAATTGAAAGGCAGTTTCAGTTTAAACGGCCTTTCAATTTACTTCAATTCAACACCTTCTCCAATACAATCTTTTCCATTCTCTTCAAGTCTGAAACCATGAACCTCTGCTCACTTACTCAGATGGAGTCAGTAGCCAATGGGACATTTCTTTCCTCTTCTATTGATTTTACAGTCAAATAAAAGCAGCTCAGTCCAACACACCGAAGGTGCTTGGGCTGTACCTTCATTTTCAACAGGAATCTGACCAGTGAATTCACAGCTAGAGAAAATGTCTCTGTGTCAAAGCCAAAGAACTGAGTTAGACTAGGATCTTTTACTTCAAAGTCCCCTAGTCTTGCATTCATTCAGAGGCCATTGTCCTGTGCAGATTCAGTTAGCCTCAAGCTACAGACCTTTGGCTGATATTAGCCCTCTATTCCAACAGGGTATTCAGCTGATGCAGCAGCTTCTGGGAGTCAGCTGTTGTATTTCTATCTTCTTGGTAGTTACTGTGGCTCCTCAGGGTAACATCCTCCCTGGGCTGGCTCTCACCTTGCCCCAGGATGTTGGAAAGAAAGGCCTAGGAGGCAAGGACACTTGAGGGCAGGAGGGGAGAGGTTTGTCCTGAGTAGAGGTCTCTGCAGCACCCTCTTCCTGCTTGGACCAAAGAAAAAGGTGGGAATAGCCTTTCTTAAGTATACGGGTATACATTCATACATCTTCTTGAAAGAGAAATTTGGCACTGCCAAAATTAGTTCAAAATTAAAGATGGATATACTGACATGGTAAGCACTTGGTTATTTGTTAATGCTTATACAAAGATATAAATGTTAAGCTATTGTTTGAAGCATTGTTACAAATAGCAAAAAGATTGTAAGGATCCTAAGTGTCTAGTAAAAGAGAAAATATAGAAAATATACAGCATGTATACAATGACATCCTAAATGGTGGTTAAAAAGGAGGTGAATCTACATAAACTGAGATCAAATGGAACAGTGGCCAATTCAAGCTACATTTTTAAAAGTAAGGTATAGGAAAAATGTAAATGAAATGGTACCAATGTAAATTCTAAAAAGTATATGTAGCTGGGCATAGTAAGCCTGCAGTCCTACCCCTGAGGAGTCTGAGGTGGGAACCCAGGAGATCAAGGGCAGCCTGAGGAACATAGTGAGACACCCACCGCAAAAAGAAAATACGTGAAAATATGTATGTATAAGAACATAGTAAGACTGTTACAAAGACTGTGAGGAAGGACCTTGAAAGACTGAAGGTTACCAGACGGAAGATTTCCACTTTCTATACCTACTATTATGTATTTTTAAACTTATTTTCAAATTGTGTTGAGTTTCAAAGATAAAGTTCCCATATACTCTCCACCCTGTTAAACATCTTACAAATCCATAGTTCATTTATCAAAACCAAGACATGAGCACCATGCGCTATTATGAACAGACTTTATTCAGATGTTTTTCACTGACTTCCTTCTGTCTCAGGCTTCTGTCCAGGACTCTGCGTAACATTCAGTGGGTACACATCTGAACTGTTGAAAATTTTACCCTGAACATGAATTACTTTTAAAAACCTAAGCATATTTTAAAACTAAATATATGATCATAATGTTTATACAATACTGATACTTTGAGAACATAGTTTGCTTTTTAAAACTAGAAGTAAATGTTTAAAAAGATAATAGGGGGCTGAGGGTGGGGCTTGGTGGTAGAGCACTTGCCTAGCATTGAGTGAGGCCCTGGGTCCCATTCCCAGCATGATGTTAAAAAAACAAAATATTAATAAAAATCTTTTTTAGATAATCATTATGAATCATCTACTCTTTCAGTATTTTTAAGTCTTAATTTGCTTACTGCTTTTTCTCCTGCTGTTATCAGGGGTTAATGTATGGGCTTAATTCTGCCTGAGAGCTAGGCATGATGGAGCACGCTGGTAATCCTAGCACTGGGGAGGCTGAAGCAGGAGGACTGCCATGAGTTTGAGGCCAGCCTGGGCTACTTACTGAGTTCAAGGCTACCCTAAAGTACAGAGCTAGACCCTGTCTCAGAAAAAAAAAAAAAAAAATAGGGCCGGGAATATACCTCAGTTGCACAGCACCTGCCTGGCAAGCTTGAGCACCTGAGTTTGATTCCTGGCACAAAAACAAACAAACAAAAAACATAAAAATAAATACATAAAATAGATTTGAAAAAAAAATTCAGCCTGAGACACTACAGGTACAAATTTCCAAAAGTATCATTTGTAGACTCATTTCTGTCACACTCTTCCATCTTCATTCAGATTATATGTTAGTACATTTTTCCACAAAATTACATTCAATCACCAATTCATCAAAATACTGAAAAGAGCAAAAAAAAAAAAAAAAAGATTCAAGAATAGTACATGAAGCATCTCCATTGTAATTGTTTTAGTCTTTTGAAACTATCAGTCTCAAATCATTTTAAACGAGAGTAATCGTACATTCTAAATGACACTAAAATGATTTAGCAAGAAACACCTTTATTTCATAACTTTCATTGGCTGAGATGATTAGCCTATAGTTACAAATTAAAAACAATTTTAAATCTAAAAATTAAACTACATATTAAAGTACAGGTGTTAAATTGTTAAAGTAGCTTTACTCTGCACCCCCGAATTCAGCTGTCTCGATGTCCACCAAATTTGAAAAGACCCAACTCAAGTTTTTTATTTGCTTTTTTCCTATTTAAAGCTTATATCCAGCCTACAAGGGTGTTCATTTGGTAACTCATTTCAAAAGCTTTAAATATATTCTTAACCTTTAAAAATTAGGATATGTGGGCAGGGGATGTAGCTCAGTGGTAGAGTGGTTGCCTGTTACCCATGAAGCCCTGGCTTCACATCCAGCACCACAAAAAGAAAAACGGGGAAAAAAATATTCAGTTTTGAGTTTGATTTAGTCCTGGGCATGGAACTCAAGGTCTCATGCATGCTAAGCACTCCCTTTACCACTGAGGTGTACACCTGACCCCAGGTATTCTTAAAGGATTGAAAGTCTTGGCAACACTGTAGCTACTTCCTGCAAGGCCAAGTTGGCTTAAACTGTGCAGAAGTGTTAGACCGGATGTACTCCCTTCCTCACCAGGTCCGTCTGGCCACCTTCATGACAGTACTTGCCCCACCCTACCATTAATGAATTTGCCAAGCCCTTTTAAGCTGTTAATTATTATTCTTTGTGTCATCAAAGAAACTTAGAATCTACAAATCCTATCTTCCTCCACCACTCTCAAAACTATGAAGGGAACATTTATAATTACCAAAAAAAGTCTTTAGGTGATAGCTCTTGTGGTGCAAAGGTACCTCTTTTGTTATCTTGTTAAGACCTAAGGCCTATAGCTCACTTGGCACTCTGTGGTCCAATTAATATTCTTTGTGTGCAATTCCTGAAAAGCTATAAACTTCATGGAGAGATGATTGCTGTAGTAAAAAGTACAATAAGCCTTGGGGACAGTGAGAAGTGGTCAGATCCACTCTACTTGAATGGCAGAAAGGAACTGCTCACATTTTGAGCCCTGCCAGTGAGGCAGAAGGTGGGATCAGAGAGATTGTTGGGTAGCTCATGGACAGTCTGCCTCAGCTGCCATGGAAGTCAAAACTGTAAAAGCACCATGTCCCTTTGCTCTTAAAATACAGCAAGTCTTGCTCACAAGTTTTGTTTGTTTTTTGGTACCAAAGATCGAACTCGGGACCTTGCGCTTTGAGAGGCAGGCGGCGGCACCACTGAGCCAAACCTGCGGCTTTTGCTCATAAGTTTTGTCAACTATCTAAACTCACCTAAACTTTCTGTTAAATTCTAATTCATTTAAGGCCTCCCTCATCTGAAAGCTTTGGGTAAGAATACTGTTAATTAAAAATGACCATGATATCAATATCACTCTTCTCTGCCAGGCTTTAAACCAAGGAGCTATCAAGAGGGGAAATTTTAGGACATAACCTTTTTCTCTGCTTACGTTCAGCAATCTGCTCAAAGATGATGCTCAGGCAGAAACAAGTCAGTTTTTTTTAAAAATTGTGAATAAATGAACTAAAAATTAGAAACCAGTCGGTGTCAATACACAAGACTTCATAGTAAACTGTGTGTACCCTAAATTGTGAGGAACTGTACTGTTTTCTGGGGCAGCACAGCAGTGTTCTCACGAATCTGGTTTGTGCATGTTTTGCGCATCACTCCTAGAATACCAAGTTGGCCTCCCAAAATTCTCACAAGCACCTACCACTTTAACAGAACACTTCCCCACTTGATCAGCTGGTCAGCTTCTGTTGCCTGTCCTCAAGACAACCAGGTTGGCAGGAATTATAAAAATTGCCTAAGTTTAAGACATCAGGCTTCAAAATATGAAATAGTTTCTGTGGGATTTAGATTTGGAATGTCCCCCGAAAACCTCATGTGGTTGGGGGTGGGGTAGGAAGGTGGTTGGGACATGGGGGTGCTGTACTCACAAGTAATTCATCTACTGCTGAGACCAACAGATGTGTGTGCAGTTGCGAGGTGGGTCACTGCCGGATGACCAGAGAGGTCTCTCTCCCTCCCTGGCTCCTCTATCTTCTGCTTGCTGGTCGCCAGGACACAGCAGCTTTCCTCTGCTCAGATCTTCCCACCATGCTGTTTCTGTTTTAAGCCTGACAAACACAGGCTGAAACTTCTGAAACGTGAAACAAAATGAACCTCTCCCTTAAGTTGTGGGCATCAGGTCTATTTGATTCCAAATACATCACAATCAGCTTTCCCTAGAACAACGAAGGAAAGACACTAGTCAGCCATCTTGGTTCTCACTCCAAGGTTTCATTTCCGTAGTGCCTTGGGAAAAGGGGTCCTAACAAACCTGCTCCAGCTTCGGAACAGAGAAGAGCACATTTAAGCACATACTTTTAAGCACTTTTGCTCAAAGAACGAGTTACGTTTCACAGTTAAAAGCAGCGACCAACTTTGAATTTGATTGTTAAATAATATACTCTAGAAAATGTTTTTGTACAAGATGGAACTTGAATATTAGCAACTTATGAGGGAAATGAGAGACTACAAAGGCAGTTTCCTTTATTTTGCTAAACTGTAAGGATTTCACATTCATATTAATTTAAAATATCTAATAGAATGACCACTTCCTAGATCACTAAAATACTTTACCTATGAAACGTTTATTTTGCAGTCAAAAATAAGAACCAGAGAATGCCTTACTAAACAATAAACTGACCCTAAGCATGTGATCTGTAATCAATTCAGTAAGACTAAGTTTACTACATCTTAGTTTCAGGTAAAAAATGGACAATTTAGAGAACTTTTTGACTGAGGAAAGTGGAAATTAAAGAAGACAGATAGAGGCTAGGAGTGGTGCCACATACCTATAATTGCAACAGTTGGGAGGCTGAGGCAGGATTGACCGAGTTGGAGGCCAGCCTGGGCTACACGGTGAGTTCAAGCCCAGCCTGAACTACATAGTGAAACCCTGTCTCAATAAAACCAAAAAGAAGAGATAGATGATGTGCAGTTTAAAATATAAAATCCTGGGCTGGGGATTTAGCTCAGTGGTTTTGCCGCCAACTGCACAAGCGCAAGGACCTGAGTTCGATCCCTGGTACCAAAACAAAATAAAAAATAAAATATAAAATCCTTTCACATAGTATCTTACATTTCCAAGACACGCTCTAAGTGGTGAAAACACAAGATCGTTCTCAGAAACTCTATTATAATCCACTAATTTGTAAATCGACTGATACATTACAATCAAAAAGTTCCTTATAAAAAGATCCCATGTATTGTTATTGTGGAATCCCAAACTCTTTACAGTATTGAAAAAAATGCAAATAAATATATCTTTGAGGTATTACAGCAATCCACAGGGACTATACCAGTCACCTCAGTAACGCGGAAATGTCTCATCGATTTTAGCAGCCCAAGCCATGAGGCCCCCTACAACATCCCTAACTGTTAAAGAACCTAACTCTTGTGCTGCTGTTAGGGACTGTAGGATCCTCACGGCTTTCTGGGAGTCATTTCCCAGTTTGCAAATCACATAAACGGAGACAGCAGCCCCTTCCGGCGCTTCCCTTCCTGAATTCCCTTCCCGGATTGCTTCCCTTAAGAGTTTCAGGCTCTCCCCATCTTTCCGTTCCAAACGTTTCAAAGGGATGTGTAGAGCATGAGGCAAACGACAGATGTCCACCTCCACTTGAGGCCTGACATCCAGCAACACGTGGGGTGCCCCAGAATCCAGAAGTCGCTTATAGTCGGTAACAGAAATCCGTTCCTCTAGGCTCAGTAACCGCAAGGGGCGGCACTTATCAGTAGCTGAGGAGCCACAGAAGGCCTCATAGTCCTGCAGATCAGCCACAGTGGGCCGCTCCCCGCAAGCCACACAGTCAGGCCTGCGCCTCCGCAGCTGAATAGATCGGAAATGCCCTCGGAGGGCGTCAAAGAGCAACAGGCTTCCACTGTACGAAGGACCCAGGCCCGCAGCGATCTTCAGGACTTCCAGAGCCTGTAGGCAGCCCAAGACTCCAGTTACGACACCGAGCACCCCGCCATCGGCGCAATTAGTTACGGTCTCCGCCGGAGGTGGTTGGGGAAATATGCAGCGATAGCAAGGCCCGCCGTCATAGTGGTAGACTGTAATCTGGCCCTCGAAACGCAGGGCGCTGGCCGACACCAGAGGTCGGCCAGCCAGCACACAGGCGTCATTAACCAGATAGCGAGTGGGGACGTTGTCAGAGCAGTCGGCCACCACGTCATAGCGGCGGACCAGGTCTAGCGCCGTGGCTGGGGTCAGGGCCTGGGCGTAGGGCACACACTCTACTTCCGAATTGAGGCGGCGCAGAGAGGCGGCGGCCGAAAAGGCTTTGGCCTGGCCAGCCAGTGCTTCGTCATGCAGCACCTGGCGGGCTAGGTTGCTCAACTCTATGACGTCGTAGTCCACAAGGCCAAGGCGGCCCACGCCGGCTGCTGCCAAGTACTGCGCCAGCGGGCAGCCGAGCCCACCGCAGCCCACGATTAGGACAGATGCGGCAGCCAGGCGTAGCTGTCCGTGCACGCCCAGCTCTGGCAGCACTAGCTGTCGGCTATAGCGCAGAATCTCGTCTGGGGACAAGGCGGCCTTCGGCGGTAGCGGCGACACAGGAACTCGCCGCTCTGGCTCCAGTTCTTGCTCCGCCAAAAGAGCCGCCGCAAGCCTCTGCTTCAGGGAATTCAGCTCCTCCTCATGCTGGGCAACTGCAGCTTGTAGGGCAAGAACCTCTTCCCGGGAAGCCATGACGACGACTCCCGGAAACTGTCGCGAAACGATTTCCGTTTCCGGCTTCCTCTCGGACAGCGATAGAGCAAACTAAAAGCCTTCATGGAGCTTGATAAATTGGATGAATAGAAAGGTATTTCCTAGATAAACTTCCAATTCAGTTTAAAAGATCCATATATCCTGAGTAGTTACTACTGAACCGTAGAGCCATCTACAGAGGCCCGAGGAGAGTAGAACTCAGTCACACAGACCACCCCCTTTTCCCCGAATTTGGTACGGCCCACACCCGGCTTACGTAATTCCGCCTCCGGTGTTTCGCGCAGTTCCGCCATGGCCTCAAAGGAAGCGAGTCGTACGCCTGCTTGGTCTCGGCTGGAGCCGGAGGGGCGCTCCCCGCCCCAGAACACGTATTCGGTGCTTTTACCCACCTACAACGAGCGAGAGAACCTACCGCTTATCGTGTGGCTGCTGGTGAAAAGCTTCTCCGAGAGGTAGCGCCCCCGGCTGCTCTCGAGGAGAGAGATGAGCTGGCCTCCCCCGCCAGGGTGTCGGCGGTTGGCTGCGCGAGACAGCTCACGCAGGAAGCCGCGAGGAGAGAAAGGAGCCTACGTATTGGGTTTCCTCGGGTGCTGGGTTCTCATTCCTTACTCCTGGGTTTGTGAGCTACTCATTTATCTTTGTTAGGAACTCTCGTCCTCCCCCGCCTTTTTCTTAGATATCCCCTATCCTCACTAGGCTGAAAAACCTGACCTCACTCCTAGCTGCTTGCGTTGCCGGTGCCGGGTGCCTAAGCGAGCGTGATCACTCCTCGCCCCGGCGCCGAGGGCTTTCTTCTGTAAGCTTGAGATTTCGTCCGTGAGTTTAAGGAAGTACTGCTGGGCTGGATAACCTCTCTGGAGGTTATCTTCGCTCATCACCGTTGGGTGTTTAGTGTGGTTGCTAAAAAGGAATTTTGAAGTTTGAATTAGAAAGTGTTACGCAGTTGGGTTTGTTTTTTTAAATCAGAAAATCCTCTTATCGGTAGGGAGTAAGCTGTTTTACTTTTAAACAAATGAGATCATGCTGTAAAAACCCTTGAAGATTTTACGCTATCAACACACGAACAGCAAATTATTTTGAAAGGTAACCTTCCATAAGGCTGTGGTATTTATTTGCCCCGATCATGGCAGTAAATACAGATAATATCCAGTGTTTTGTTTGGCTTTTGCGTTATAAACGGAATAGACTTTGTTCGCATCATATTTTCTAACAGTTAGAAAAAGTACTTGCCATATACTATAGTGAGTTTGCCTTTAATAAGCGACTGTTATGCCAAACACACAACTGGCCAACCTGAGTATTGTTAGACTTACAGTGTTGGCAATATTTATAGGTGGAAACCATTACTGTTTTGGTTATACATTGAATAACTTTCTGCACATATATGACCCCTGGAAGTTTTAATTAGTGTCTTTTTTTTCATTTAGTTGCTCTTTTCCTTTGATTCTGCAAGTTCTTTCCAAATTAGAGATATTAACCATCTTGTTCTGGGTTTGTATTCTGATTTTACGACTTTTTTCTTTATTCCTTTCTATATAATGCAGTTTATCTTTTAATGGTTTCTGGGTGGACTTTTGAAAATCAAAATGAATTAGTAAAGGAGTCTGCTTTTTTCAGATGCAATTACTTCTTGTCAGCTCAGTTTATTTCACTAAGCTGTCTCACCATAGGTGATTAGGTTGCCTTGTAAAGGCAGAGGAAAATAATTTTGCTTATAAATGACTTTTTTTTTTTTTTTTTTTTTTGGTACTGGGGATCGAACTCGGGACCTTGTGCTTGTGAGGCAGGCGCTGGAACCACTGAGCTAAATCCCTGGCCTTATAAATGACTTTTGTTTATGAAATACCCCTTCAGTTAGAGTAAACATCCTAGTGTTTTGGCAAGTTAAAGTACTGTTCCCTGAGTTAAGGCACAGTGGGGAGCTGAAGTCGTATCTGTTCTTGAAAGATAGAAAATTGGGGTTTTGTTTCTTCAGAATTTACTGAGTCCTTTTATAAAACCTTTAACAGAATGTGATTTTTGGTTGATTTTCTTGCCTCTATTTCTTAAAGCAAGATCAAGAGGAATCCATGATGTCTCCTTTTCTTTCCCCTTAACTTTCCTAATGTCTTAAAGGGAGGTGAGAGTGAGTAGAGGGAGATGTAATAGTGATCATATATATACCTTTATGCAGTTTTAATCCACCAAATAGTCTGTTGGCTTGTTTTTAGAATAGAAACTATCACGTAAAATCAATAAAAGTAATAGATGTTGATTCTGAATCACAGTAAAATCACATAATTCTACTGTGCTTTTTATTTTGTTGTTGTTAAGTTTGGTAGTGTGGGTTAATGGTTTCAGCTGTTTAAAATACTGATTTAAAGATTGTGATACAACTCTAAACTGTTTTTAAGAGTGAAATTGTCTAGTTTACTCCTGATCATTACTTAAATTTGTTAATATTTTCCTTAGTTTACTTAGAGTTGCCATTTAAAATATCGTTGAAATATTTTGTGAGACTAAGACTTGGTATTAAGGTTTCACACTTTAATTTTCAAAGTAGGCAAATACAGTTTTATAGGATATCATGTGTGTCATACATATAAACTATGATTTTCTTTCCATTTGAAAGTATGTTTTCCAAGTGAAAATTTTTCAATGTCTCAAAAGCATGTTCTAGCAACGTACTAGGTTTAAAAACTAAAGTACTAAATCTTTGACATTTGATAACCTTTAGTGACTAACATGGTAGTAAATCTACACATTCACTGGTGAAGATTAATAATTTTTAATCTATTTTAAAATTTGAAATGCTGTCTCCAAACAGTAATACAGTTGTTTTTTTTTAGTGGGTTCAACTATGAAATCATAATCATAGATGATGGAAGCCCAGATGGAACAAGGGATGTTGCTGAACAGTTGGAAAAGATCTACGGATCAGACAAAATTGTAAGTATGTGAACATTTTTCTGTCGTGAGTTGTGCTTACGTAGGGGGAAGATAAGTGAGTAATGCTTAAATGCAGTCTGCCTAGAAATGAGATGAAAAGCAATTTTTATGCCCTTAGGATTTAGATACTTTTTCATTGTGCTTTCAATTTTACCTATCTTTGGACTGTTGCATCCATGATAATTTTACAGCAAAAGAGTAAGCCTTTAGATGAGCTGTTTTTATGCCTGAGTCTGCAGATAAGTTTTCTTAAATGGCAAAAGTAAAGCATGACACTGAATTAACAATTGGCCGTAATTGGTGCATGTTCTTCTGGCTCTCTTTCTGTAAGTACTCTTGAACTTTGAATGGAGAATACTGCCTACAGCTCAGAATGTGTACGTGGAAAAGGTGATTGTCTTCATGTGGAATATGAATGTCTTTTCGGAGCACTTGCATCTTAATTTTTATCTGTGGAGCAGTTTTGTTGGGGGAGATTGAGTTTCTGAATGCTAAACTTTAGGTTTTCCACTTTACCTTGAAATTTGTTTTTTTTCTACAAGAGTAACTTAGGCAAATATAGAATTTGCCTTATAACAACTTTATAAATTTTATTTTTGATTACTAGTTTGGACTTAAAAATGTGTGTTCTCTGGGTAATTTTTGGACCAAATGCATATAATTAAAAACATTTTTAACTGGAAAACACATTCTGGGCATTAAGCATTTATTTCTAAATTATAGTTTATTATAAATCAGTCTCAGTGCTCTTGCTGGTTATTCCTTGATGTGAAGGAGCTTTCCTGTACTGTGTGATGTACAGCAGCACCCATGGCCTCTACCTATGAGATTCTGGTAGCAGCCCTCCTTTCTGCTTGGCAACCAAAAATGTATCAGGATACTGTCAGGTGTCCTTTAGGGAATGAAATTGTTCCTTCTCCCCCAGTAGAGAATAATTCTTACTTCAGAAGTAATCTCTTGGGAAACATACTGATGTTTGTGTCTCAAAAAGTAATAAATAATCATTATTTAAAAAGCAGGCCTGGGGATTTAGCTCAGTGGTTCCGCCACCTGCCTCAGCGCGAGGTCCCGAGTTCGATCCCCCATACCAAAAAATAAAGCACTCCCCAGGTCCACATATTCTTGATTAACCCCAAATAATTTCTACAACTACTGTTCTCTTGGAGGCTAAGGTTAGTTGTAGTAGATTTGGTTGGTGGGGAATAGTATAAGGAAAATGTGTAAGACTTCCTTCTGCCTCTTCTTCCATGCAGGGGATTGAACCCAGGATCTGGTAGTGGATGCAAGGCAGGGACCTTAGCACTGACTTACACCTGTGCCCGCTAGAATCTGTGAGTCTGTATCACAGATGATTCACTCACAGCACTGCCAAACTTCTAATCCTCTCTGAAAATCTAAAAGAGAATACAGAAGGAAGTAAAAGGGTAATACATTTTAGCTTTCTAGCAAAAACTTTACATAATCCTAGGTTCATATTTTTAGCCAACAGTTCCCCAACTTTTCTTTTAGAAGCTCTAGGCTTTGGGTTAAATGGTACCATTTAATCTGGAACATCACTGTGACATTTTGAATACTTTGTCAAAAACCTCAGCCTTGGGGGGTGTGGTTCATTGATTTTAGGGACTGCCTACTAAATTGACTTTTCAAATTCTTAAACAACATTGGCCTCAGAAAGTCTCCTTTTTTTTGTCAACCTAATAAAATTATACATAATGAGAAAAATTAACATTCACTGTCATGATTTCCCTGCAGTGCAATACCAAATGCCCTATTCATTCATCATTTTATATCCTTTAAATCACTTATACTAGAGCCAGTCAATCACAGTAGCAGGCATACATCCCCATATACTCTGAAAGACTGAGGTAGGAGGATCTCTCTAGCTTATGAGTTCCAGACCAGCCTGGGCAACATAGCAAGACCCCATATCAAAATCACTCAGTCAATCAGGCAGTGCCAGGAAAGGCACTTACTTGCTTTTAACTGTCATAGGTATGTTTAGTTGGGAAGAAGGATAGAGAAAAATAACTATCAAAACCATCTTGGAATACTTC